TTAGACTTTTCTAAATTAGAGAAGAATCTTAGAGAATTACAAAAAATTTGAAATTTAAAAATTAAAAAGTCAGAGGAAGAGCCAAAAGGGTTAATGCAATGTTGCCAATGAAGTCACTTAAATGTGATTAAAACTCTGTGGCTGCAGACATATGCAATGGGGAAAATGTAGTACTACACAGCTCACTTGGTTTTTAAGCCTGACAGATAAATATGGGACTACAAAGCTGCTAAAAAAATCAAAAGGGACAGGAAAAATTTGTGCCCTTTATTAAACCAACAAAATGAAGCCCTCACAAAAGGAGTCATGATAATTTTGATAACATGTAGTACTCAATAAGATTGCTACTATATTTATATTCAGTACTAAGCATGTTAAGGAAAGATGCCACAGCCAGTACTATTAACTGCAAGAATATTCCTGGTGGGTTGGTATTTCAAAAGTGGCAAATTTCTCAATACTTAAGAAATGCTTGGAATTAATGCAAAAATACTTCTTTTCATGTTTGCATGGAGAAAACACCAATTAAACTGACATATAGCTTAACACAAAGCACCATAAACCTGGCTTACAAAGGAGGTGGAAGGAAAAGCATGAGAAACTCCAGCAGAAGTTTAACCCACTGCCAACGTCTCCAGAAGTCTGGCTTCCTCTAGCTGACAACAAAGAACCAGAGCCACACAAAAGCCAAGTTGAAAGACGACTGAGTGAAACAAAACCTCATTATTAAGCAACTCCAGAAACATTACACCTACCACCAGAGGGGAGGGCAAAGTCTGCATCCTGACCAATTGTCCACTAATCCAAGTTTTGTCTGTCTTCTAGTGTTTAAAATACGAGATTCCTTTTTTCTTCCAAAATCATGGGATAAAGGGCTGTTCTGGAGTTCACTAGGTCATAATAATGGAAGGGATAGGAGCTTCAGAAGTACCTCTCTGAGGAATATCACAGCTGAAATAGAAATTTAGCAATTACCTGGAACATTCAGTTCAGTGTCAACTGAGCACATTCTCAGCATGTTTTAATAGATTTGACTGAAACATCACCAGGTAAGATGCTAAACTATAATACAGGAGGAAAGCATTTGAAGACTCTTACCTTGTAGGTTTCCATATTTTAAATAACAACCATGCTCCTCCCTCTCCTGAAGAAGTGTTTATGAGCCAGGACAGGCAGTGTATGTTTTATGCTTCTTTGGATTTATGCGTTTGCTTGTCAGTTCTACTTTTAGTGACTCTTTGAGGTTGGAGAGAACATTAAATGATAACTTATCCCTTTGAGATAAAGGCATTGTCCTGCAAATTTACCTAATCATTGCAGAATAGGGGTGGGAGGGACATCTGTGACCTGGCAGCTTTTAGCATCAGACTGACCTTTCATCCCATCTTAAGTCATGTTGTAAGAGCAAGACTTTGTGGTCCACTGCCTGCTCCAAGTTTTAACTAGTAACACGGTTGACTGTCCTGCTTCTATCTCTCAGCCTCTAAGCTTTGGACATCTCTAAGTATTTCCTATCAGCAGTTCACAAACAGATGGCACCAGCCTGGGAGATGGATGACTGCCCCCAGCTGTCTGCCCCTCCCTGCTCAGCACAGAAATGGCTGAGCTGTTTGAAAAGCAGCTGCCAAGCTACTGACTCCTTCAGAACAGCCATCCAACAAACTGCCACCAATTCTAGACCCTCTTGCAAAAAAGTGCTCCAAGCCAGGTGCTCCTGCAGTGCAAGGGAGCACTGGACAGCTAAGATAATAATCATTAGGTTTTTTCCAAGATCTTATTGTCTCTCTTGTAATGTCAAAAAAAGGTTTGCAAGTTACCATTTCTTATTTCTCTGCTCTCAGTAATGCTGGGAGACCTGGTCTCTTTAACATCCCCATGAACATCCCACAAAGTCACTAAGCTTTTTCACTCTACTCTCTCTACATCATACTGAAGATGCCAGGAGACACCCAACACCTTTTTTAGTACAAATGCTACAGGTATGATTTCTCCCATGGAAAAACATTACTGGAAAACATAAATGACATATTTGTAATGCTGTACCCCCACGGTGTTCTAGCAGGCAGGACTCATAAAATTATTCTGCAAGACCTTAGCGGTACCAGAAGTCACCAGAGCAGAAAGTGCCCCACACTCAACACAACGACTTGGAGAAAGGACAGCATTCCATATCACAGGAGACAGCTGCTTGTGCCTTAAGCAGGTGGCCAGCAAAGCCTGCTGGAAAGGGCTGGCACCCAGAGAGGGCTGTGCCATGAGCTTACTCAGTCAGGATGCTGCCTCCATGCAGGAGTGGAACATGTCTAGTATGAAAAAAGATAACAAAAGGAAAGGCAGCAAAGGAATCAGGACACAGATTATCAGTGTACAGAGAAGAGCTTGGCTGACTTTGGAGTGAAGAGAGGATGGTGCTCACTCTGCAATCAGCAGTGCTGCCTAGAGAGCTGTAAACAAGCCAACTTTGAAGAGGAATGGCAACATGAGCGTGAGGTCTGTTTAGAGGCTGAAACACAACTTTCTGTACAAATTTAAATGCATTTAAGCAAAACAGCACAAATTCTTCATATTGCCTGAGTACACTTCAGCTAAAAGCCGCCAGTTTTGAACTGACAACAGGCTGCTTCACAAAAGATGAGAAGCACATAAATTGCACATCGAAGAAATTCTGAGACCTGGAACATCTTGCCCATAACCACACGAGCCACTCCTCAGTGAGAAACAGTGAAATAGTTCCAGTTTTGTCAGGGGAAAGGGGCATAAAGAGCTCTCTGTAACAGCTCACCCCTTGGTTCAGAGGGCTCTGTGCAAGTCAGTCACAGGGTGGATAAATAACCATCCCTTCAGAGGCAGGGCCAGCTCCACAGCGAGCCTGCCCTGTTCCACAAGCTGGCTTGTGAGCACTGGAGATGAAATCAGGGACTATATTTATTCTCCCTGCCCGGTCATATCTTTCTATAGATCCCAGACAGGGCCCCACTTCCTTGGCCTGGATCCTGGAGACGAGTAAGCAAAGGAGGGCATAAATCAGTGCCTGGGTTCTGTCAGGAGCACACTGAACCAACCATCCACACCAGGAACAGGTGCACTGAAGGCAAGCAGGGACACTGTCCCATTTGGAATAGGGGGGAGGGCTTGCAGAAAAGCTCTTCATTTCTTCTCCCTGAGCCTACCCTAAACCTTTCACCCTGCAAGAAGGTTATTTACCTTCTGCAGTTCACCAGTCCAGTCAACTAGGTGTGTTCCACTTAACACCAATCCATGCTAAGTCAGGATCAGCCAAGTGTCACTGGTTTCTGTATCCCTTTGTGCTTCACTTTTGCTCTCATTTCTTTTTTGTCTTTCACTCTCTGCTCTGACACATTCACTCCAAAGCTGAAATACTTCAGGGGCAAAATGTTTAGTAAATGAATACACTCTTAAAACACAACTGTAATTTTTCACCAGTAATTTTAAAAGTCACCCATCATGAAAAGCAGTGCAGACATACAGCAACAAGAGCCATGTCACTAGTTCATGCTTAATAACCATGGGGTGGATTCTCAGGTAATATTTTAGTCTGAGTAACATTTTAAGCAAGCATCAGTCCCTAAAGAAGCAGTCTTACTTTGATCTCAGTCATGGTTGCTCATTCCCAATCTCACCATCCTTTCTCTAAATACCAGCACAAGATGCTGGGCAGTATCGAAATTAAAGTTCACATATTTTGTCCTTTCTGGCCGTGTTAGTTTTAAACTGGATTAGTTCCCCAGCTGCTTCCATAGCACAACCATAAAACGCCTGCACCAGCTCAAAGCAGGAATTGATGTCTGCCTAATCTGGCCCCAGATTAGCCTCAGGGTGACCAGCCTTACTCAACCCCGATTGCTCTTCCCAGGTACAATGATGTGTGTACCCAGTAAAACCATCCACTGCAGATAAGGCCATGTAAACAAGACCCCACCCACGCTCCCGCAGTCAGAGCAATCCATTCCCTTGCTCGGGGAACAATGGCCTGATGGGTGGACAGAAACCTGCAGAATTACTTGTGAAGTGCCCCGTAGGAAGCTCCAGGGCATGCACGGAGCATCCCGTGACGGGGCCTGTGAAGACGGCAGATTCCAATGTATGGGGGGGAAAAAAAAAGCAAGCACCAACTGGGTAGAAAGAGAGCTGTCTTTCATAAGATCCTTGCTAGTGTTTGGAGAAACTGTCCACCTTGAGACTGAAAACCAAATACTGAGTATTTAACCTTTGCTTTACATTTTAGTCACAGAATTACCAGGGAGATTCTTGCAATTCTCTGCTAGAGAATCCAGGCCAAACCAGCTTTTGGTTAACAAAAATCAAAAGAAATTTTAACTGTGGAAAAGGTGAAAAAACTCCAATTCATGTAAAAAATTGACTAGTATAAAATTGACTTCTGCTGCAGCTGCATGCCAGAGCCTCTCTGTACTCAGGGCAGGGTATCTAGTCAGCTAGATGAGAAGAATCCACAGGTGAAAGATACTTGTGCCAGGGCTGTGAGAATGCAAACTGCAATGAAAAGCAGTACACAGAACCTTCTGCCTTTAACATCTGAAAAGTGTAGGTAGTTAAAGTAGGTAGGTGTTTGCACAGCAGCAGAGCCCTTCAGGGCTCCAGGAGCTGAGCTTCTTTCCTGTAGCACCAGATATGCAGATCATTAGCTGTTCTTACCTCCAACAAGAGCAGTGAAGAAGAGATACCATAAAAGATAGGCTTTGTCACACCATGAAGCCGTATATTTATATATTAAGATTAGTTCAGTAGCACATGCTCAGCTCTGAGATCTATATTATGGATAATCCCCTGAAAAAGATACCTATAACGCTTTCTGCTTCATCAATGTCACACCCATTTTCCTAAATAAGACTCCAGGCAACCAACAGCACCAGCCTGGGAACAGGTGAGAGAAGGGAATTCTCAGAGCATCATTTGGAGCAGGGGCAGGCTGTGTGGAGCATTGTGCTGTGACCTCTCTCTCTGTCTCTCTCTCTCCTTACCATACATCTTGCCTTCGTCGGACAGGATGATCTTGCGGCGGCCGCATGGCGGGTAGATGGCTAGCGCTTCCTGGAAGCTCTGCTCGATGTCCGGGCTCCACACGCCCTCGGCGTCATTGTCGATGGGTTTGTCCAAGGCCTCGCTGCCCCCCGAGTCGTTGCTCCCCTCAGGGGAGGTGGGAGAACTCCACTCGTTGGAGGTAATGGTGCCAGCTAGAAACTCCAAGGTGCCACGCGGAGGAGCAGACTCAGAACCTGCAAGGGCAAGCACATCCCACCGGGCAGTTAGAAACCCTCCAAGGAGATTCTAAAGCAAAAAAGCTGAAAAAAATCCCAATTAGGAGGGGTTTACTTCAAGTTTATCTAAAACGATAACTCAACCACATGTTGGGTTTTTATTTGTGTTGAGATGAAAACATTTTCTACAAATCCTTCTGAAAAACAGCCTGCTCCAATTTCTCTTTGGTTCATTAACTCTGTCACTTCCCAGCTCTCCTCAGGAGTCATCTCGTGTCTTTCTCTCCTTTATCTTTCTCCCTGCACTGCCATTGTCCATGTCACTGTTATTTAACTTTCCAAAGCACACATAGAGGGATTCAGCCTGTGTGAAAGACTACAGCAGTGATGAATTATCCAGTCATCACTGAGCACTGGGATTGAAATTTTCTTAGATACTGTTTCACTGGATCAGAGTTAGTAGTTGGTGTCACTTCTAACGCTGACATTTCTTCTCAAGGATCAGCTGTGCTATTAAAAAAGCCATTCCTGGACAGTTTAATGCCGTGCCTTCCAAACCCCATATCCTGGCAGGAGCAGAAGGCACCATGAGTACAGGGATGACAGCACCAGTTGCAGGTCAAGAACCAAGGTGCTTAGCCTGTTGTTACTGCTCATCCTCAGAACGACTTTGGGGAAAATTCCTTCAAGTTTCCCCTGCCTCTCTGCTCCCTCATCACTTTCTAGTCTCAAGCTATTAGATTTGCCACTGGGCAGGAGCAGAATTTGGTTTCTCATTGAACCTAAGCAGGCAGCTGCTAGCTCTTGAAAACTACAATAAATTATAGTCTACTTATAAATGCTTACAGGAGAGGCTGAAGCCTTTGAGTGGAGCTGCTGAAACACTCATTGAGAAATTGACTTCAGACCACACAGACACTTCCAGTCAACCAGGCAGGAGATAAATGGCTTCTAAAGACACAGATAATTCTTCTGCCTTAATCCCAAAGCTGTTTGTTTATCATTTTAATAGCTTTGTTATCTGGGCTAGAAAGAATGTTCACAAGCCAGCATTTGAGAATCCAGCCAGAATTCAAAACTTCCCTCCCTCTTCCCTCTCTCTCATTGAGCTGGGTAGCAAGAAAATCAGAATAAGGACTGCTTTTCCAAAAGCAGCAGAATCATCAAACCTGCACTGAACATGAGTAAGAAGAGAAGTCTGACATGGCAACTCTCTAGCTCAGAAATATCACAGTGAAAATGTAAAGGGGAACACAGGAGAAATTTGGGTGTGGTATTTGTCAAAAACTAGTCATTAAAAAAAAAATGCATGCAGTTATGCCATGTCATAGTTGATATAGGGAGAAAACAGTCCATTCATTCAAGCTCAGAACTTCAAAAATTCAGGGCTCATAGCTCCAGAAACTTTTCTGACAAACATTTTTCAAGTCTTTCTTTAGTTTCTTACCTCTTTGGATTTTGTGTTTTTTAAATCTTCTCCAAGACCATAATCACCAGATTTTTTTTTTTAATAAAAGCTGAAATTCTTGCAGCACTTTAACATTTCAAAACCTGAAATTGTAAAGATTTGGCAACACTGGCTCTCAGAAAGTTTTGCTGCTCCTTAATGACTTTAGACAGCAGCAAATACATATTTTGCATCTCCAAAAGCTAAGGAAATAAGACAATACTGTGCCTTTGACTAATTTCAATACAGACAATATAAATTAGACAAATAATTAGACACAGCATTTTAACTATGCAGCATTTTAATAAATGGTGCACAAAGACATTTTAAAAACCCAGTATTTGACTTATTTCCTGTGAGAGTATTTGAAACACACAAATCACTGGAATGGTCTACCACAGCCCATCCATTCATTTCAGCACCTACATGAGATTATTTCAACCCTCTTGATCCATTTAATGAACATGGAAAGAAATAATACAATGGGAGATGAGAGGGGCAGAGAGGGGAACACACACTTGGCTTTTTACCACTGGGACAGACATCCCAGCACACTGTGAATGGCACCAAGGTCAGCTGTGTGACTTTAAGAGACCCTGAAATGAAGGGTAACAGTTGCTTCCCTCACCAAACATTCCCCCTTTCACTGACAGATGCTAATCAAAAATTACACGGGTATTTAAGAGATTGTCCTGCTGGGGAATCCATGTAGAGGAGTAAGCTTTCCACAGCGAGACACTGACAGGATAAGAGAAGTTACCTGCTCCAAATCTTCCTTCCCCAAGCACCCCCAGTCCCTGGAGGCTCTGCAGACCCTCCACAGTAAACACACATCAAAATATCCACAAACACAAGGCCCAGGCTGGTTGTAACTTGTGATGACAGGCTGAAAAGCAGAGAGTTCAGAACGAAACCCAAGGTGTGACAGCAAGTGCATTCATCATATCACCTGCACTGGGAGCTGCAAATCTCACAGGAGCCAGCAGGTTTCACACCAAGTGCAAACATCTCCAGCTGCTCAACTACAAGACTCCCAAAGCCACAGTCACTGGAAGGTGCAGGTCTGCTCTCAGGCCAAATCCCCAGCAATGCACACAGGCAAAGTCATCTAGGGGATGAAGGACCATCATGACCATAAAAAGCATCTGCTTTGAATCTAGTTATTTTCATCTCCTTAGTGTCCATGCTGACACAGGGGAATACCTAGCAGATGATTTCATCATGGCACACTCTTAAGTTGAAACTCAATAAATATCTGAAGCATATCTCTGAAGCATAACTCTCCTCCCCCCATCACACACCCTGATCATTTCATATTTTACAAGGCTTGGCATCTGCACTAAGTGCTTTTGGTGACACAGGAAACTTTGGGTCCATTCTAATCCAAGCTTCAGAATAACTGGAGGAGAAAACATGTCCTATTCAGTGCAATGTCAACTCTCCAGACTCTGTTCTCCAAACCTTAAAGAAAAGTTGCACTGACTTGACTTGAGCACATGTCATTCATACCTTAAGAGAAATCCACAAAGCCAGAGACAGAATATGTGAAATTTCTCTCACAGTGGTGTAAATCAAGGGAGACGTGGAACATAATAGCAGTGACAGAAGAAATTGTATAAGTTTTGAAGTGACCAGACACATTTTTTTAATGCTTCTTATTTTTCATTCCTTGCCCTGCAGTTAATTTAATTTCAAGTTACAGCAGGTCAGCAAGGACCGAAGTGTGGTATTGTGGTTAATCCCAACTTTTCTACACTCTGGGTCCTGATTCTGCTTTCCTTTCTTGGTACTAAAGCTATCCCTAATAGATGATGAAAAATGGGGAACCCTACAGATTCTAAAATCAAGGATGTTTGGCCATCTCCAGCTAAAACCTCTGTAATTACTCAGATTACAAAGCACACTAGCAAAACTTTTACTTTTATTTGATAACTTCTGAAGAAATTCCATAGACTGAAATGGCCATGGAAATCCTTATAACTCTGTGCCTCTGGATCACTAAGATGCCAAAGGCTTAAAAGGCCGGCAAAGTTGTCTTAAATAATGTTGCTTAACTAGTAAGCTCCATGTGCAGTCCCAGGCAATGCTCTGTGCCAGCAGCAATAGCAGTAATTCAGGGAGCTCTGGTTGAGTGCTATCTGATCTCTTGGTCTCTGCTTTGGCTCAACACTTTCAAGCCTTCTGTTTCCTGCACTGTTGATCTGAACTCGGTGGCCAAGATGACCACTCATTAAAGTAAGCAAAGCAAACTAAAAAAGAAGCTGGGGGTTAAACCCTGTGCTAAATTACTTTATTAGGATGGCAAACTGGAAAACTGGCAGTGGAATCGCTTCCCACTGAATGAGCAATCAGGTAAAAACCAGAGGATTTTTCAGAAGCATGAGAATGCTGAATATCTTATTTATAAGAAAAGTTTCTATAATATTCATTAGTAACATCTTTAACCAAATACAAATGTTTCAGTTAGCATCTACTTTCTATTTGCTTCTGTCTTCTATTTAATAGTAACTACATGCATACAGCCTGGGAACTTTAATGGTGATTTGTATTACCAAATGTTATAATATTACTAAATATTTTAGTACTTGTTAAATTTTTTTTTAGGTTCTGCCTGTGCAAGAGTTTGTAATCACAAAGCTCTCTTCTGATGTGGAGGGAATTTGATTCTGAAAGCACTAAACAGACATCCTAAACATGCTCAGACAATTCCTTTCCCATCTGAATTCCCTCACCAGGCACAGTTCTGAGGAACAGAGTAGTCAGAGGATGTTGTCCCATATTCATAAGTGCAAGTTTTGCTAGAGGTCACAGAGCTTGGTGTTTTTTCTCTTGGGATTCCTTTCACCTGAACTTATGCCCCACTCCTTGCCTTTTGTACTTCTGCGATTGTACCTCACAGTTTTCTTTATCCTGATCTCACTCTTATTTCACCCAGAGATGATTACGTATCTTTCTTTGTGGGGTACAGTCATGGGTTCTCCCCCAGGTTCAAAGACACAAGGCCCCTCAGAGCACATCCACCTCCTCACCACAGTATCTCTATCTTCCTTCCTAATGTTTCCCTCTGTCCAAATACTGTTTCTTACTCACTCTTGCTCCCTGTTTTTCTTTCTGCCATGGTCATTTCTTAATGAGTCGCTCACAAAGCAAAACCATGGAGAAAACACAAAAATCTTTCATCTCCAGCAGCTTTGGTTGAAGTGTTCCAATTCTGATAATTTCAACACTAACCCTCTTTCCTTTCACACGTGGTATCTCATTGAGATTCAGAGATCCTGCAGGGCTAGACAGCTGCCAAGAGCCCTTCAGCAAGGTCTTATTGACAGGGAGCACATCTTTAAACAGACTCCACAGTCTGACACATCTGCTTTCTCATATTAATCCCTCAGTCATTACTGTTGGTAACAGCTCCCTCTTAAGTGTTTGTGGCAGCTGCTCAACACAAAATCATACTTTCCTGTGGATCTGAAAAATTGCAGCCAGCTGCCTCCAGTTGTTCAGTTTTCTTAGAGCTGCTCTGTCCAAGAGGTTCCCCCCAGCCCACGGCCACCCCCTGTCCTGCTGGAATGGA